TTTAACTATAAATTTGAGCTTGTGTTTCTTACTTTAATAGAATTAGAATTATCTACAATGCAGCCAGTCTTTGGGGATTAAATGAGGAAAAAGTTATGAAGGTTCTTCAGACTAAATCAACCTAAGCAGTTAACATTAGCAGTTGGGGGCGGCACCTGTGGCTCACTTGGGTAGGGCGCCAGCCCCATACACCAAGGGTGGAGGGTTCAAACCTGACCCTGGCCAAACTGTAACAAAAAATATCCTGGCATTGTGGCAGGCACCTATGGTCCCAGCTATTCAGGGGACTGAGGCAAGAGATCACCTAAGCCCAGGAGTTGGAGGCTGCTGTGAGCTGTGATGCCATAGCACTCTACCAAGGGCGATAAAATGAGACTCTGTCTCTTACAAAAAAAGAAAAAACATTAGGGGTTGGGAAAACAATTGTACATATAATAGGATATTATGCAGCTATTAAATTTCTTTTTCAGAAACTATATTTATTTTTTTAAGTTTCAGAAAGTACAAAAGGTGGGTGGCACCTGTAGCTCAATGGGTATGGTACTGACCACATATACCCAGGCTGGCAGGTTTGAACCCAGCCCTGGCCAGCTAAAACAACAATGACAACTGAAACAAAAAAAACAGTCAGGTGTTGTGGCAGGCCCCTGTAGTCCCAGCTACTTGGAAGGCTAAGGCAAGAGAATTCCTTAAGCCCAAGCACTCTACACCACAGCACTCTACCCAGGGTGACAGCTTGAGACTGTCTCAAAAAAAAAGATGGCTCAGCACCTGTAGCTCAGCAGCTAAGGTGTCAGCCACATATACCAGAGCTGGCAGGTTTGAATCCAGCCCAGGCCTGCCAAATAACAATGACAACTACAACCAAACACTACCCAGGCATTATGGCAGGCCCCTGTAGTGCCCAGCTACTTGGGAGGCTAGGGCAAGAGAATCAATCACTTAAGCCCAAGAGTTGGAGGTTGCTGTGAGCTGTGATGCCACAGCATTCTACCAAGGGCAACAAAGTAAGACTCTGTCTCAAAAAAAAAAAAAATCCTTCCTAACACTTGTTATTTTTCCTTTCTTTTGAGACAGAGTCTTACTTCATCACCCTTGGTAAAGTGTCGTAGCATCATAGGTCACCAGCAACCTCAAACTCTTAGGCTCAAGTGATCCTCTTGCCTTAGAATCCTGAGTAGTTGGAGCTACAGGAGACTGCCCCAATGCCCAGCTAATTTTTCTACTTTTAGTAGAGACAGGCTCTCACTCTTGCTCAGGCTGGCCTTCAACTCCTGAACTCAAGCAATCCTGACTCAGCTTCCCGAAGTGCTAGGATTATAGGCATGACATGTTTTTTTTATTTTTATTTTTCTGAGATATAATCTCATTTTGTCACCTTCCAGAGAGTGGCCTGGCATCATAGCTCATAGCAACCTCAAATTTTGTGGCGTCATACTTCATAGCAACCTCAAATTCCTGGGTTCAAGTGATCCTTTTTTTTTTGAGACAGAGCCTCAAGCTGTCACCTTGGGTAGAGTGCTGTAACATCACAGCTCACAGCAACCTCCAACTCCTGGGTTTAAGTGATTCTCTTGCCTCAGCCTTCTGAGTAGCTGGGACTACAGGCACCTGCCACAACGCCTGGCTATTTTTTTTGTTGCAGATTGGCCAGGGCCGGGTTCAAACCATCCACCCTCGATATATAGGGCCAGTGCCCTACACACTGAGCCACAGGCGCCACCCGCCAGCCTATTTTTTTCTTTTTTTTTTTTTGAGACACAATCTTACCTCAGTAGAGTGTTATGCCGTCACTGCTCACAGCAACCTCAAACTCTTGGGCTCAAGTGATTCTCTTGTCTCAGCCTCCCAAGTAGCTGTGATTATAAGCACCTGCCATAACACCCAGCTGTTTTTTAGAGACGGGGTCTCGCACTTACTCAGGCTGGTCTTGAACCTGTCAGCTCAAACAATCCACAGCTTTGGCCTCCCAGCGTGCTAGGATTACAGGCATGAGCCACTGCACCTGGCCATTGGTTGTTTCTTAATTGTTGTTGAGTTTTTAAAAGAGAGGTATGATGAAGACTCAGCACCTGTAGCACAGTGGTTACAGCACCAGCCACATAGACCGAGGCTGGCGGGTTCAAACCCGGCCCGGGCCAGCTAAACAACTGCAACCAAAAAATAGCCATGCGTTGTGGTGGGTATCTGTAGTTCCAGCTACTTGGGAGGCTGAAGCAAGAGAATCGCTTAAGCCCAAGAGTTTGAGGTTGCTGGGAGCTGTGACGCCATGGAACTCTACCCAGGGTGACATATTGAGACTCTGTCTCAAAAAAAAGTAATAAAAATTTTTTTTTAAAAGATAACAATTATATACACAAATGTTTCTAATAACAGAACCTCAAAATATATAAAGCAAAAATTGACAAAACTAAAAGAAGTAGACAACCTACAATAATAGAGACTCAATAACCCACATTCTATAATGGATAGAATTACCAGCCAGAAAATGAATAAGGAAATAAAGGACTTCAGCAACACTGTAAGCTAATTATACCTAACAGACATATCTAGAACACTCCACCCAACAACAGTAGAATACATATTTGTCTCAAGTACAAATGCAATATTCTTCAGGAATTGAAACTCTGGCTCAAAAAAAAAAAGATAAAGACAGAACAGACTGAAAGTAAAAAGATGGAAAAAGACATATCATGCAAATAAGCATAAGCATATGAAAGCTCGATATATGAGACAAAGTACACTTCTAGAGGATTCCCAGATATAAAGAGTATTTCATACTGGTAAAAGGGTAAACTTACCATGAAATGTGTAAGCATCTAATAACAGAATTTCAATATATGTAAAGCAAAAGTTGACAGAACCATACAGAAATAGTCCAAACTACAATCATAATTGGAGATTTTAAGACTTCCTCACAGTAACTGACATCTAGGACAATTAGCAAAAAAATTAATAAAGCTATAAAATAGCTGAATGACACTACCACACTACCTTAACTTACTTGATATGTATAGCACATTATACCAACAACTTTAGAACAGTCTTACTATACATGGCACCCAGCTGTAAAGGCCCAAATATTTAGAAATTAAATAACACATGGGTCAAAAAAGAAATCACAAGGGAAACAAGATGATATTAAGAAACCTTGGCCGGGCAAAGTGGCTCACATCTGTAATCCTAACACTGTGGGAGGCCAAGGTAGGAGGCTCACTTGAGCCCAGGAGTTCAAAACTAGCCTGAGCAAAAGCAGGACTCCATCTCTATAAAAAATTAGAAAAATTAGCCAGGCATGGTAGCACACATCTGTAGTTTCCACCTACTTGGAGGTTGAAGCAGGAGAATCACACAAGCCCAGGAGCCTGAGGTTGTAGTAAGCTATGATGACACCACTGTACTCTAGCCCAGGTGACAGAGTGAGATTCTGTCACAAAAAAATAAATAAACTAAAAGCAGGCTGGGCAGAGGGGCTCATGCCTGAAATCTCAGGAGCTGAGAAAGCTAAGGTTGGGAAGATGACTTGAGGCCAGGAGTTCAAGACCAGCCTAAGCAACATAGCAAGACTTCAGCTCTAAAAAAAATTTTTTTAATTAGCTATGTGTGGTGACTGCACCTGGCCAAAATTCCCAACACCTTTTATGTACTAAATAAAAACTTAGGGCAAATTAAACCAATCCAAGTCTAGCTAAAAAATAATCAAAAGCAGTAACAGGGCAGGCACAGTAGTTCACATTGTAATCCTAGCACTCTGGGAGGCCAAGGCAGGTAGAATGTTTGAGCTCATGAGTTCAAGACCAGCCTGAGCAAGAATGAGAACTCTCTACTAAAAAAAAAAAATGAAAAACTGAGGCAGGAGAATTGCTTGAGCACAAGAGTTTGAGGTTGCTGTAAGCTATGATAGGCAACAAAGTGAGACTGTCTCAAAAAAAAAAAAAAAGCAGTAACACAAATAAGGAGTTCTAGGAAAAGAACAGGATTATTCTACAGAATTTTGCTCTATATCATAAATATGATAAAATAATTCTGACATTAAGGTTAATCATCTAAAAACTGTGTGGCTAAGTCTACTAGTGGTTCCATAATTCCATTCATCCACTCTTTCCTCAGTAAATCTCCCCCAAATCGGTTCAGCACACCTGACCAAATAAAAGACTAGTTTTTAAAGCCTCCTGCATAGCTAGTTGTGACCTACAGCTAAGTGTGACCATGGGATTAAATTCTAGCCGGTGGGAGAAAAGCGAAAACAGCGTATGCTTCTGCTAGCAAGTCACCTTAAAAACACAAAGCAAAGCCAGGCCAGGCAAAGTGGCTCACACCTGTAATCCTAGCACTCTGGGAGGCTGAAGCAGGTGGATTGCTTGAGCTCTAGAGTTGGAGACCAGCCTGAGCAAGAGCAAGACCTCTCCCCCCACCCCACCACCCCCAAAAAGTGTTACCTATCGTCCCATCTCCTCAGGAGGCTGAAGCAAGAGGATCCCTTGAGCCCAAGAGTTTGAGGTTGCTATAAGCTATGACACCATGGCACTCTACCCAGGGTGACAGCATGAGCCTTTGTCTAAACAAATAAAAACCAGAAAGCCTTTCTCCTTCCTATTCTTCCTTCCTGTTTATTACAATATGGTGGTAATGGCTGATTTTATAGTAAGCCGACTTCCACAGATAGCAAAGCATCAAGATAAAATAAGTCTATGAGTACTTGCTGTAAGTTCCAGTGCCTATATACACATGAAGAAAAATAAATTTCTATCTGAAATCTTTGCTATTTTTTGGTCACTTGCCACCAGTTAACACTAACTAGTTAACACTAATGGATACAGATTATAACCTCAACCAAGAGAAAAGTGATCTATAAATGAGAGGGAAATTTGTATCACTGATGTCTCAAAAAGGCAGTTTAAGATATTAAGACAGCTAAAAATTATCAAGTGAATTATGTAATAGAAAATCTGATGAATTGGAACATTGCATACTTGCCCAAACAACAAAAATACACTAACCTGGGATGTTCTGGTATATTCTTCATATAGTCTATCATACTCTTTGCTCTTCTCCTGATACTGAGAGTGGTACTCTTGCAGTTTTTTACCTACTGCATCAATGTTATCTTCTTTTACCAACTGATCCTGCAGAGGTAAACAAAAGAAATAAAGAATGTTAATAATTCTGATACATGAATTTTTCCATATCTACTTTTTAGGGAAAATATTACCTTAACCATGTATTTATTTTTTAATTATATTTCTACTATAGAAATTTAAGTCATTATATAACATTAAGAATGCAAAGACACTAAATCCTTTTGTTAACACTAAGATAAGCCTTTAAATCATATCAAAATAATATTTTAAAAATTAAGAAATGAAGTATTAAGTGAATAAACATAAAGGATTTGTGTACAAAGTTAATAAATACATGCAATGAGTATTATAGAAGAGAAGTCACAAAATAGGTTCTAAAAATATATAAAATCTTAGTGGCACCTGTGGCTCAGTGGGTGGGGTGCTGGCCCCATATATTGAGGGTGGTGGGTTCAAACCTGGCCCCAGCCAAATTGCAACAAAAAATAGACAGGCGTTTGTGACAGGCGCCTGTAGTCCTAGCTACTCGGGAGGCTGAGGTAAGAGAATCACCTAAGCCTAGGAATTGGAGGTTGCTGTGAGCTGTGATGCCACGGCACTCTACTGAGGGTGATAAAGTGAGACTCTGTCTCTCTTTAAAAAAAAAAGTATATATATATATATATATATGTATATAATCTTAAGTAGGAAATGTAAAATAACTAGGTTTCTTTTTTTTTTAATTGATCAGGCTGCTAAATAGAATCAAGTGATGCTATTAAATAATGACTTGCTCAGTGGTTATCAAGGACTTCTGTTATCATACCTGTTGGTATCTGGACACTGGGTACATCAGCTTCACATCAAGTTTGGGATTGTATTGAGCAAGGGATTCATGATGATAGTGGTTAATGAGCTCCACCACAGAATTAAACGTCAGAGGATCAGAAAAGCCATATTTACCATCTCGATGATAGATCTTTATTAACTTATTATTTCCTCCCTTCCTGTAAACAAGAAAATAACAACTATAGTTTTTTTCTCCCCAAAATTCTATTAAAGTACTACTTCCATATGGAGATATAAAAGCTTAGTGTCACAAAATAAAGAAGTCTCATAATGCTAACAAAACTGGAAGAGATAAAAAGGCATATATTATATGTGTGTAAGTATATACACAAGTGTGTAATATCATACTATTTTCACACCTATTTTTTGTCCATAAAATACACTGGTTATTGGACCCAAAAAATTATTGACAGAAGTAAACTGAATCTTTTTGTTTAATTTCTGAATTAATTTTCTAATTTAAATTCCACATTATTTTTTCAGCAAGAACAAAGACAATCTCTTTAGGACCTAGAGCTCTGTGGTTACACATCTTTCCAGAGGAAGTAGATGCCATCTCTATATAAAGGGATGATAAACATATCAAACAATCACCAACACACTCAGTTTTATTAACATACATACATAAGCTCCTTTAATGATTTATAGGTAGGTAATTAATCAAGCATCTTATACTATTTTTCTTTTATACTTGCTTATAATTCTCAGAAATGATGATTTAGGCCATCAGAATATGGAAATATTCAAATAATTCAACTGTTTTACAAAGTACAACTTTTGAAGAGCTATGCATATTAGATGAATATAATTTGATACTTGAATAGTTCAGACCACCTTTGTTTACTGAGTCATATCCAAATGGTTCCTTAAAAGATAATTTATAACCAAAGTTTAAAATAGGAATATTTTTCAAGTGCCATAAGACTTAATTTAAAACCATAGCAGGCTGAGTAACTATATAATAGCAAAATGCTATACCATTCCCTTTTAACTCTTCCCAGAGCAGCATGCATACTTAGAGGAAAAAAACATGCCTCCATATCTACGTCATGCTATTATACACGATAAATAAGGCACTGGGATTTGAGAAAGGTCAAACACAATAGGTCTGAACTGATTCAAATTAAACAATACTAGTGAGTTCAAAAACTATAATTAAATATAAGGAACAATATTTGACAGCACAACAAAGTGACTATAATTAACAGTAAGCTAGGATATATTTATCTATATATTTTTTTGAGGGGTGGGCAGCTTTTTGGCCAGGGCTAGTTTGAACCCACCACCTCCGGTACATGGGACTGGCGCCCTACTCCTTGAGCCACAGGCGCCACCCAAGTTAGGGTATATTTTAAAATAACTAAAAGAATGGAATTAGCATGTTCCTAACATGAAGAAATGATAAATTCCTGAAGTGATAGAAAGCCCAATTACCCTGATTTGATTAATTCACATTATATGCCTATGTCAAACATCACATGTACCGTATAAAAATATATTATGTTCAACTAATAAGAACCCATAACAGGGCCGGGCGTGGTGGCTCATGCCTGTAATGCTAGCACTCTCGGAGGCTGGTGTGGGTGGATGGCTTGAGGTCACAGGTTTAACACCAGCCTAAGCCAGAGTAAGACCTCGTCTCTAAAAATAGCTGGGCGTTATGGCAGGCACCTATAGTCCCAGCTACTTGGGAGGCGGAGGCAAGAGAATCACTTGAGCCCAAGAGTTTGAGGTTTCTTTGAGCTATGATGCCACAATAGCCACAAAGGGTGACAAAGTAAGACTCTGTCTCTAAAAAAAAAAAAAAAAAACCATAATAGTTAAAAAGAAAAAAAAAATTAATTGAACAATGCTTAGAAAGCCAATCTTTAAATGGATAAACTATTTCTATAAAATGTACATTTACAAGGACCATCTAATCATATATAGTTGCCATAGGTTTGAATACCCGCATATATACTCATAAAAAATCCAAGCTAGTCTCTCTGTTAAAGTTAAAAGGCATTCACTCATTCAAAAAAATGTATTAAACGTCTACTGTGTGCCAGGAATTATATGACTCACTGAGGATACTATATAAACAAATTAAATATAGCTCCATGTTTTCATGGAGCTTCAAGTTTTAAGAGCATGAGGAATATATCGCCATCTTTCAGTTCATTAAAGAAGATAAAAAATTCCCCAAGATAAAACATAAAAATAAATCTGATATAGCAAATGGTGATATGTCTATTAGAAAAAAATAAAGCACGGCTC